CTTATAAACTGAAAATTGGGAACATTTCACAAGTCAAAATTTAAATAATCTTTAACTCTTAAAATTCAGTTTCTTTAGTAACCAAACACATAACAATGGAAAACACAATAAATTATCTGAATAAAATATAAAATCTTGATTTTTATTTAGTTTTTGTAAGTTTAGCCAAGAACATTTCAATATTTTAAGAAAATATTATTACTTTAGACATAGAAAGCTTTTAACTGTTTTAATTGTAGCCAACTCAATTATATAAATATATTTAAAAATAACTTTTGTTTGAGTGAGGCACAATAAGACTGGGGAGTTTTGTCTAGTTTGGGCAAAGGCCCTCCACTTAGGACAACATTTAAAAATATATTAATATAAAATTATATATTAGAAATTTAACCTTTAAACAACATAAGAGATCAATCTTAAACCTTTATGTATTAATAATTTATGAAAACACATTTAACAGACCAAATATTTTATAAATTTTGAGCCAATGTTTGAATTCATATCTAGCAATTGATAACTCAAATGCTGTTATATTTATAAGCATTAATTTTAGTAAATAACAATTACTTTGGGTTACTACTGAAAACCAAAGCACAGGATAGTTAACATTCTTAAGCTTTCTCTCTCCACAGATATATATATTATATATTATATATCTATATAACATACATACTTTACTATATAATATACATTAATATATGTATTATATATGTAATATATCAATATCATATATATATAGTCTTTTTTATTAAAGATTGCAAACATACATAACAAGAAATGAAGATACTAAATAAAAATTTCAATTATACATATAAATGACAGCAAAAAAGGATATGAAATAAACAAAAATTTATGTAACAGACTAATAGTTGAAATGCATTATTAGTTTGATATGATCTTCAAACGTTATGTTCTTTCTCATTTTCTTATCATACTATTTTTGAAATAATGTAATTACAAATAAAACAAAGTTACATATTATAGTTGAGAAACTGTCCTCAAAATTTTATGATTTATAAACTCCTTGGTTGTATTAATTGATAAATATCATATTCTCGTTGATTGTACCACTTACATTTTCTAACAAAACATCCCACAGAAAAAAAATATATTTGAAATCCAAAAGCAACTAAATAATTCACATTTTTAAGATCAGATTTTTCTGTTTCTATTTTATTATATCCCATACTTATTTTTATTATATTTTCATAAGCATGATAGCATTTAACACCAATACATATGCAATATTCTTCCTAAACGAATGACTATAAATTCAGTCAAGCATGTAATTTAGAGAAATCATAAGGTTGCCAGAGAAACTATCAATATGCCAAATGTGCACAATCCTACCACATTCATGACCATGTTTCTCATTTAATAGTGCACACATATGTGTAAAAACATGCCCCCCCCCACATATACACAATGCATGTTTTCTACAATACAATATATACTTTGGTATAATAAAACAGTGCAGTGATGTGTGGAATGTTGGTGATTTGTGTGATTTGAGAAAAAACAAATATCATCTTTGAGGGAGTTGGAGAATTTGTAATATGTACCAGATACTAAATTATATTAATGATTTATTTAAGTATAGTTACAATAAAATTTACTTAAAAATTAATATTCGTCATCAGTAGAAAATATGTACAAAGATATACTGATAACATAACAACATTTGTCTTAACAAATTTCCAACCAAACAAGCTGTAGTGACAGAAAAGGAAGTTTGTAGAAAGCAGAGATGAAAGAGGAAAAGGACAGATGGTCCTTAATACTTTTCATACTACTCATATATACAGATTTCATAAATTCTCAAATAAGAAAGCAAAGAAAATGAGAACCAAAATAACTCATCAATTTGGTAGACCAACATATAAAGACAAGGATTAATGTGTTGATAAATTTTAAAAATATGAAATGTAAAGCCTGACATTTAGCTCGGTAGTGCTGCACCTGTCTAGCCAGAACAATGTGCTGAGTTTAATCCCCAGCATCAGAGGAAGAAAAAAAAAAAGAATAGGAAAAAAAAGCATATGTACTTTCTGACATACTCAATAAATTAAAAATAAATTATTTGTAATCTCTTCCTCTTGAATTGTTCCCTTCACAAGGATGTAGTGAGCTCCTTTGTCTCTTTCAATCAGTTTAGGTTTGAAATTTACTTTGTCTGTGAATAAGATTACTACCCCTGCTTTTTTTCTGGGCTCCTGTTACATGAAGTTTTCTGTCCTTTCACTTTCAGTCTATGGGTTTTTTTTTGCACTACACATGTCTTGTATACAACATATTATTGGATTTTGCTTCTTAATTCATTCTGCCGGTCTATTTCTCTTGATTGGTGAATTGAGTCCCTTGATATTGATGGTTATGACTGATATGTACTAATTTATTATTGTCATTTTTTTTCGCCTTCTCCTTTTAGTTTCTTGGCTTGCCTATTTGATTTGCTCTGTTGGGCCTCATTGTATTGTTACCTTCATTGTCTTTTTCTAGAATATTGGGTAGAATTCGTTGTAGTGCTGGTTTGATATTCATAAAGTTTCTCAGGTGTTCTTTATCATGGAAATATCTTATTTCCCCTATTTCCTCTTGAATTGTTCCCTTCACAAGGATGTAGTGAGCTCCTTTGTCTCTTTCAATCAGTTTAGGTTTGAAATTTACTTTGTCTGTGAATAAGATTACTACCCCTGCTTTTTTTCTGGGCTCCTGTTACATGAAGTTTTCTGTCCTTTCACTTTCAGTCTATGGGTTTTTTTTTGCACTACACATGTCTTGTATACAACATATTATTGGATTTTGCTTCTTAATTCATTCTGCCGGTCTATTTCTCTTGATTGGTGAATTGAGTCCCTTGATATTGATGGTTATGACTGATATGTACTAATTTATTATTGTCATTTTTTTTCGCCTTCTCCTTTTAGTTTCTTGGCTTGCCTATTTGATTTGCTCTGTTGGGCCTCATTGTATTGTTACCTTCATTGTCTTTTTCTAGAATATTGGGTAGAATTCGTTGTAGTGCTGGTTTGATATTCATAAAGTTTCTCAGGTGTTCTTTATCATGGAAATATCTTATTTCCCCTACCATTTTGAAAGAAAGTTTTGCAGGATATATCAGTCTAGGTTGGAGGTTGTTTTCTTTTAATACTTCAAATGTCTCATTCCAGGCTCTCCTTAACCTAAGGGTTTGTACGGAAAAGTCTGCTGTGATTCTGATGGGCTTTCCTTTGCATGTAATTTGTTTCTTTTCTCTTACTGCTTGTAGTATTTTGTTCTTCTGTTGGGTTTCTGGGATCTTGATTATTATATGTCTAGGTGTAGATTTTTTTATCACAGCTAGTTGGAGTCCTATATGCCTCACTTATCTGTATGTCAAATTCTTCCCCTCTGTTTGGGAAGTTTTCTATAATTAATTCTGTGAACAGCGTTTTTAAGTCATTTGCATTTTCTCCGACTACTTCTTGAATTCCTATCAGTCTTATTCTTCTTTGTGTCGTCTAAGAGTTGTTGTATCAATTTCTCATGATCCCCTACTGTTTTTAAGAGACCTCTCTTTTCATGGTCACTGACTGCAATTTTATCTTCTATATCTGAGATTCTATCTTCCGACTCTTTTATTCTTTTGTGAACACTCTCAATGGAGTTTTTAATCTCCTGGATATCTGTTTGAATCTGTCCTATGGATTCCATTTCTTTCTTGTATTGGACATTTATTGTTTCCAATTCTTTATTATGCTGGACATTCATGGCTTCTATCATGGTCCTGAGCTCATCTATTTTCCTCTCAGTTTCTGTTCTAGAGTCATGAATTATAACTTTCGTTTTGCTCATCATTGCTATGATTATCTGGGAAATTACTTCTGTTTTATATTTCTCTAGAGCCTGATTGATCAGTTTTGTTACTTCCTGTGCTTTGAGTTCAGGGTGTCCTGATGATTCACTGTCAGACTTTTCATCCTCATTTGCCCCACTATTTGCCATTGGTGAACTGGAAGTCTGTCCCTGTATCTTGCTTAAGCGTTTTCTCATTTTTACTATTGTTGCTGGGTTGTCCTTAGTTTAACCTTTAGGTTATTACTTAAATCTTCCTGATATAGTTGGGCTGCAGCCCATGGGTCTCTAATGACTCATAGACATTCTCATTTTCATAATACCGAAGAAAACAGCCCAATAAATCAATCACAATCCTTTATCCTAATTGATACAATCAGTACCACAATATAATGAAGCACAATTTGCAAATTGACCACTTATGGTAGTCATAAAGCTAGCACCTTCAAACCATGTGAATTAAATTAAAATCAAGAAGCAATCCAAAATACGCTTACAGTGAATAAACTTTTCAATAAGGATATTTACCATTTAGAATGGGGGCTTAAAACAGAGTTAAGACAAGAAAAGTAGATAAGTAAAAGAATTAGAGAAGGTTTCATAGGAAGCCAAAAGACACAGAATGACCAGAGAATCGTCAGGAAACTGTTAATTTCAAAAAGAACAAACAAAATAGAAGTATAATAACCCTTGAGTGAGGTAGAATAACGTAAGAAAAGAACATAAAGAAAAGAGAAAAAAATAATAGAAGAAATCTGAGTTAGGACAAGAGCAAAACCAGAAAGGGAGATGAGGGATACTATAGTGGAGTAAGAAACTGAGTTGGAGAAAGAAGACAGAAAAAGAAAAAAAAAAAAAGAAAGAAACATAAGTTTGAAGGGCCTCTTTCAGACTATATCACTGCTATCATAATATACAATATGTGCTGCCATGTGCAGAGCCGAGTCCCCTGATCTCAGCTAGCTGGTGGCAGAACCCCATGACGCAGGCTGAGCTCAGGCTGCAAGGCCCGGACTGAGTTCCCCGACCTCCTGAAAGGTTGAACTCCACTCGGTTCTACTATAAATTTCCCCCACCACTTCTTTAAAGATGTTCAAAGTTAAAAGCGCTGAAAAATACTCTTTATGACCTCCTCTTCCTCTACAGAGTAGGTCCAAAGACTGGCACAATCAGGAGGTCTAAAAGCGGGAGGGGGAAGGTTGGGGGGGTATGGGGTGCCCACACAGCTCTTTTTCTAGTGCTGAAGATGGCAGCAGCGGCGCCAGCACGGGAGGACCCCGCCGAGCAGGTCCTCTGGCACTAAAGATAGCGGGAACACCGCCTGGAGGGCGCGGCTGAAGATGGCGGAACGCAGCCTGCAAGAGAGGGTGCAGCAGAGAAGGCCCTCTGGCGCTGAAGATGGTGGGAACACAGCCTGCAGGAGAGGGCGCCACACACAGTCTTTAACCAAAGGAAAACTCTTTTAAATTCTTGTACACAGAGAACAATGGACATTGCATTTATGCAACCAAATTTGTTTTGGTCTTCTTAAGTAGTCTAGGCTGGCCTTGAACTCCCTATATAATCCAGGCTGGCCTTGGCCTTCCCCTGCCTCAGCCTCCCAGATGCTGAAATTACAGGCATGTACCACCATGCCAGGCCAAAACCAACTTTTTTGGGGGGATACCAGGGCTCAAACTCAGGACCTTGCACCTATGAGACAGGTGGCAGCACCACTGAGCTAATTCCTCACCCCCAAAACCAATTTTTAAAAGAAAAATATTATTTTGATTGGCTAACAACCTGGATGAAAACATGTCATCAACTTTAAAGACATCTTTACTCTTACCAACTGAGCATTTTAATTAGCTCACAGTTAAGCCAAGTGTACAAAAGCATTTGCGCTAATGTCACCAGTGTCCATTTATCTACAGTATAAGATGTCTTAAATAGAACTTTTAGAGGATAACATATACCTGAACGTTAACAAACAGATATGTATTAACTTAAATCATATATAGTCTTTATGTTACCAGACTTTAAGGCTTTTATTTGCAAGTTTTATGTAAGTCTTGAGCCTAGCAGTTTTTACTCTTTAATGTTTTAAGTGTGTTTGGTGATCCTTGAATATTTGTATAACTGGGGTTTAAAAAAATTTTTTTTAATGGAAAGCTGTAACAGAGCCAGAAGTCTGTAAGGACAAAAGCAAACAAAATAAAACAAAAAATCTGGTATGAGTTAAAAAAAAATTTTAATGAAGCAGCAGCATGTACTTTAACCAGTTATTAAAACAGATTAACAGGCAGACAAATAAGAAACCACAGAACACATAAAACAATTACATTAAATCAAGGTGCACTCTTAGGCCATGCTGAATTATAATAATCTTTTCCATAGTTTTAGGTTTATAACTACTATGGATTAGTCAGAACTTTCTTTGGGAGTTACCAATTAGTCCTGTTTACCTCAGGTAATTCTTAGCAGTAGTAATTTCCTTTTATACTTTAAGCTCCTCTGACTACCTTTTTTATGTTAGTTAATATCACACACACAACCAGTAAGAGTCAGAAGAGTTGTAGCTTGTTAGATGGGATTTTTGTTCATTTTCCCTCCTTATTATAAACCAAACTGGAGGCCTTGTCTCTTACATTCAGAGAAAAAAAATCAATCTTTAAAAATTCCTCCATCTTATCAGTCCCAGGTTCATAAAAGGTAAGCTAAAGGTGATGCTTTGGGGGCAAACAATGAGTTACCCATAACCCTTTAGGATGCACTACACGCCTTTAAGATCTCTTGCGTACTTCTGGAAAGAAACAGAGAAAAGGAAAAAAGAGAGAAAAGATGGGATACTACTTAGGTTCCCCAAGATCAGGCTGGGTGAGCCATCTACCTCATCCTGGGTCACACTGTATGTGTAGGGGGGCTCCCTCACCCCCATTTTCTAGAGCCAGAACTGTCTGGAGGGGCAGCTCTGCCCTGCTGCCCTAGATTCAGAACTGTGAGGGGCAGCTCCACTATGCCATCCAGAATTGGTACTGGGGGGGGCTCTGCTCTGTTACTTCAGAGTTGGAACTGCCTAGGGGGTGGGGCAGCTCTGCCCTGTCACTCCAGGGTCAGATGCACGGAGACTGGCAGCTCTGCCCTGTTTCTATCATTGAATAGTCCAAGTGCCCCAGCTAGTCATGTAGAAATCTACTGCTTATGTCTCAGACAATCGTCCTTGTTCCTGGCACATAGCCACTCCAATATGCCTGTAATCCCAGCACTTGGAGGCTGAGGCAGAACTGCTTTGAGTTCAAGGCCAGTCTGAATTTTACAGCAAGACCCTGTCTCAAAAAATAAAACAAAACAAAAATTATGCAAGATCTTTAAAAAATTGGGAAAGCAGGTGTTATGGCTTGTGTCTAGATGTCCCCCTGAAGCCTTATGCAGTCATAGTGGGGCTTTTTCAGAGGTGGCTGGATTTACAGCGTGTGACACTGGGATTGATTCAAGGTGCAATGCTGGACTCAGGCACAAGGATTAAGGGTGTGTGTGCTACCTACCTCAGCAGCCTGGATAAGATGTAAAGGATAGAAAGAGCTGTGGTTGTCCCTTGCTTGCTTAATTTTGCTGTCTTCTGCTTGCCATGAACTGTTTCTCCTCTGTGATGCCCCTCTGCCAAGCCACTCTGCCTTGGAGTCTGACAATTATGGACTGAAACCTCTACAAACTGTGAGCTAAATAAACCTTTCCTCCTTTAATTTTAGGTGTCAGGCATTTTGTCTCAGCAATGAGAGAATGGTAACTAAGCAGGAAAAAGGAGCTGTACACACAGTTGTTTTACTCAAAATTCACTCCAAAGATCTTTTTATCTAGGCCCCTGTAACATTCATAAGGAACACAGGATTTAAAAAGTCTGGAGATGTCACTTAGCAACTACAAATTACATACCATTGTAGATAGGGAATAAACTTGAGGCCAAAATTATCATAATACCAGAAACAAACAAGGTGCAGGGAAGAACCAGAGGCAGGAAGATCACCAGGAGTTCAAAACCAGCCTGTGAGACCACATGTCAAAAACAACAACAACGACAACAAAAATTATAACTTTACCTCCTTTCTGCCTTTTTTTTTCTTCTTTTTTTGGAACCAGGGATTGAACTCAGGACCTTGCACTTGCAAGGCAGGTGGTGGAACCACTGAGCTAAATTCCCAGCCCTTTTCTCTGTTTTTAAAACTTTCTTCTTTCCTACCTCATCTGGATAAGATCCAGTAAAAGGGGGAGGGGTGGTGAGGCTCAGGGAAGGAGCTCTGCAATGTGGACGGTACAACACACCCCTCCAACTGCCTGATCTGGGCCAGGCCCCAGAGCCACTCTCCCGGCCTTTGTCCTGAGGGATACTACTGGAGACCGAGGTAAGAAAAACAAAGACCTGTGGTCATGCCTTGATAGATTCTTGAAATACCAAACCTGGAAGCTTGCGAGCTAAATTTGGGGCCCCCAGAATGCACCTGTGCCATTCTTCCTTTCCATTCGCGCTGTTTTCCAGGCATGAACCTGTTTGCTCTGAGCATAGTATTTTATTAAACTTACCTGCTTTTTCTGTATCATTGTGTGCAACATCCAATGCTTTGTCCCTCATGCACAAGAGCCTGGAAACCATCCCACAGTAACACTTGAAGATCCCTCCCCACTTTGTCTCCTTAGCAAACAGTGGGGAAACTGATCTCATTATGGAGCTCTTTTTTTCCCTTTCTGTTCTGAGACAGGGTCTTGCTATGTAGTCCAGGTTGGCCTCAAACTCATGATCCTCCTGCCTCGGCCTCCCACGTGATGGAAGTTCAGGTATGTGCTGGGACACTGGGTTTACATTGTGTCTTTAGTGACCTGGTTCGCTACTCAATCCTGCCAGTTGACTGGAGGGAGGTGGAGGGTCCTTGGCCGGCAGAGACAGTTCTTCAGGTGTCCTGGTTCCATCTCCTCTGATTTTGTGAGGCAGGGGTGAGTGTGTGAGAGGAGTCACTTAGCCTTTTTGGCCCTTGTTTTTTTGTTTTGTTTTGTTTTTTTCCTGTAAAAATAAAGGAATTGGAAAGAGAAGTTTTCACTAACTTATTTACCACCACATGCCCCTTTTATTTCATGGGTCTACTGTGGCCAGTGTTTGTTGGTGGCTTTGCTAATTAACACCTCCACCCCGCCTGCTAAAACCTTAGGGCTTCTGGTCTGAGAGGAGAAGTTCCTGGCCCTCCCTTTGTTACGGAAGTGACACACAGAGAGGCAGCAGAATGGAAGTAAAATAAAAAAGTTTACCCCATGGATGGGGATCGATCACACCTAAAGGCGGTGCCCTGATCGACTCTCCCATTGGGCTACAACTCTTATTTTTACAGGGTTTTACAACTTTGATCTTATTCAGTTGGTTATATTGCATTTTCACAGATACCCAAAACATGATAGCAAGGCAGCTGAATTTCAACCAGGATGCAGCATTCAATTACCTACTCTAGCCAGGGGGAAGGGAGCTTGTTTGATTAACAAAGCTAACAATGGTTCTTTTCACTTACAAACTTTTGTGGGGAGGCTTGGTGTCTCCCGGTACCGGTTAATTCTGAACTAAGCAGGCTGAGGGGCAGAAGTTATCTTATATTGTGACATTTCCTAAATTTTCATTTATTAAAGTTTTCCCTATCACCTTCTCACAGGGTGAGGTTTTGGCTTTATGAGGCCCCGGGTAGTCAGGCTGGGGGCACTTTTTCAGGTTGCTGGGCCTCTGGTTTCCTGGCCCTGGATGGGAAGGCCTTCCCTGGAACCAGGATGCTAACAAAGGCTATGTCTTCGGACTTTTCTTTTCAAACTATTTTTCTCGGAAAAGGGGATGTGTGCACAAAGAAATAACCCAGACGGAGATTAGAGGAACATCCCTAAGCCTGTTCCCTGTCCCAAAGTCAGAGCACTCTGTCCACCCGTCCTTGGGTGCCTCTGTCCTGGAGCGACAACTGCAAAGAGGTTCCTCGGGTGCGCAACGCAAGCTCTGCCTATCGGCTCAGCGTGGACACAGACCGCCGAGCCACACCCCCCCGCCCGCCATCGCCCTTGCCCTCTTAGACTTGCCTGCGTCCCAAAGGATGCACTGGAGACTTAGATAGAACAGCAAAGGCGAGGTCTTCTGTTTGAAAACACAGTGTTTTGATACATTCGGGAGGGGACAATCTTAAATCCTACAAGGCCCTTCTCTATCAGAGACCGTCCCCAACACTGCCTGGTACAAACTCCTGAGGCTCGATCCTGAGCTACTCCGCGCCTGACTAGCATGCACACCACTGATAACTTTTCAACTTTTTACAAGAACTAGGTGAGGAGGGTTATGTTCTAGTTACTCCTCTTGGCCCTTCCACTTAACTGTAGGTGTGGACGCCGCCTCTGTACGGCTGCCTCAGGTCCACGGTCCCGATCTGGCGTGCCGGGCACGGGGGTCCGTTCCGACGC